TTATCGCGAGCTTCAACCGGTCATCCGGCCTGTCCGACTTTGTTGATGCTGGCGAGTTGAAGGAAAACACGGACTTCAAGCTTCGGGCACTGCTGCAACTCTATGCCGAAAATGCCCAGTGTAAGCACATCTACTTTGCGGCGTGTCACGACGTTGGATATATCTCCGACCTCACACCGCATGCGGGAAATAGTGGAAGATTCACCTTAGTCAATAGTCGGGGCATCAAATTCCACGACGAATTCGCGAAGCTGAGGATGGGAGTCGAGGAGCTACCAGGCGTTTTCAGATCGACTCCTCTAGACGGCCCTGCATTTTATCGGCCTCCTAATTCTGTAGTCACGAGCACCAAGACGCCATCTTCCCCGGTAAAGCAACTATCCAATCCATTGACAGGATCAGACCCACAGAGAGCGGTTTGCGAGTTCCATAAGCTTGGAAAGTGCAAGTACGGGGCGAGTTGCAAGTTCTTGCACGTCGGTCCTGCGTTTACCAATACACCATGGAGGTCGACTAGTAACGAGCGATACGAGTCGTTCGCCAACACTGCGGAAGTGCCCAGAAGCATGTCACCTAGCAAGTCGCTCCCAAGGAAGGAAGATATTCCAGAAGGGCATATCGCAGTCAACAAGAACAATTTCCGTCTCGATCCATACATTGCACCCTCAAGTCCCGAGGCCGCTAATGAGCTCCGGGCACGCATCAGCAGACAGCGGATATGCAACAACTTTCACCTGAACAACGGAGCCTGCGACGGTCACTGTGGCTTCGATCACAGCCCGCTCGAACCGGAGCTCAAGAGAGCACTTGAATCTCTTGCACGCTCACAGCCGTGCCCGAAGCGTGGCGCCTGCCGGAAGGCCAGCTGCACCTACGGCCACATATGCCAGACCCCGGATTGCCGCCATCGCGGAGGCAAGGCTTTCTGCAAGCTGCCATATTCCTCACATAGCGAGGACTTGGCGGTAGCTGCCTATGTCCCTGTCTCGATGACGCCAGGCCCGTCTCGCCAGGGGCTGTATGCTAACGGGTCCTCGTATGCTAATGGCAGTACCACAGGCGCAGGCAGCGTTAGAGACGAAGACGCACACAGTGGCAGGTTGAGTCCGGCAGGAGAGGAAGAAGACGACGAGCGGTCCTATGAAAGTAACGGCGCGTACGTCGAGGATGAGACTGATGCTTGGTAAACATGTGCATTGGAGTACAGGGTGTACATACGAAAAGTATGGTTTACTGGCTACGGGCCACGGGCCTTGGAAGCAAATGTGCCTTCTATTGCACCATTTGACACGCCGTTACAGGGGAAGAAAGATGGATCTAAGGGCATACCTGGCGGTATGCGAGATATGTGTGTGCGTGCCCTTACCAAATGTTAAGGAGTGGTAATCTCCACATTTGATACGCGGTATGTACACTTGGGCGTTGATTAAGTAGTCTTGTCAACCCAAGGTCTTTATCGTCTAGTGCCTACCTTAGTCTTGCTCCATTTGTCTCCTATGTAGGTATGGTTCAATATGAAGAGCTTCAATTCATACAATGGAGCAACCGCTTTGCAGTTTTGTAGAGTGATATCTATGCATACAAAGGAAAGATTCATGTCTAGCGTACTGATAACACAGAGCCTATCTCGCGGCCGATATCTGTTATGACCTATTGTCATCCTGTGTCGCACTCTCGAGGGTGGCCGCTTCCTTCGACCACTCCTGCCTCTCGATCTTCAACTGCCTGTTGACATACCAAAACGTACACAACGTCCAGACACCTCCCCAGATGAAGGGCACCGACCAGCCAATAACGTAGCCAGCTTCGGCGTTGATGGTAAAGATGAGAATCGTACACACAACAGCGCAGGCCTCTCCGCCGACTGCCCAAAAGACGCCGAGTCTCCGCAGCATGGTGCGGAAGATGTGGCTAGCGGCGTAGCGCCTGTCAAGCGCTGTTCGGAACTCGGTGCCCCCCGAGCCGTCGACGGCACAGATATCTTCTATCAAGCTGTAGATGCCGGGACGGAGTTGAGCACCTTTGGGTACCGAGGATATCCTCACGGGGGCAGGGACGTGGAAGACGCGAAGGATATCGACAACGAGTAACTCGGTTGCTAGGACGAAGAGCATGGTCGGTACAGGCATTGCGAGGAGCCGGATAGGTGGGAACTCGGGCACAGTGCCACTAAGAGGGAAGGCAGCAATGTCAGCAGATGCTATACTTCAACGTTTCATGTCGAGGGCGGCTTACACGATGAGCTCGATCATTACAACAATCCAGCCAAGCGAATAGTTCCAGTGAAAAGCGTCCAGATACCACCGCCGTGCTCCAATAACCCGGCAAGTGCTATTCTTCCTCCAAAGACGGCGTAGCCGGATGAAGTACTCCAAGATACTCGCTCCTCCAACGGCCGCGGTGACGATGGAGAAGACGGCATTCGCTGATAGTTTCTGTTTACGCTCGGTGGGCGTGTTCGTGCCCGGCCCTACTCCGTACCAAAGGGCGAAGTAGAGGGCGATCGGCAGGACAACCGAGTCGAACAGAATGAGAGACCAGAAAATGGCAATGGAAAGCTTCCTTGTGCGTAGTGTATAGTTTAATGACGGTGGTTCTGGCAGAAACCGCGGTGTTCCTGCGCCTAGTATTCCCTCGGCACCCGGCGTTTCTTGTTTTTCAAGGTCGGCTGCTTGTCCTGACGCCGTCGCTCCCGGCGATGCCACTGCAAGCGTCGCGACCGAACTTTTTCTCCTCGTCATGACCAGACTGGGCCGGCCGAAAGGCCCATCAAATCGTCTGTCAAACTCTTCGCTCTGCCGGACAGTTCCTCGCTTCGCTTGATAGCTCTTCCTCCCCGGTATGCCCGGTGACATTGGTGGTGAGGTTGGGTCACGCTGGTTGCCGTTCATATCTCTAGCTGCTGGAGGCAGGCTCTGTGTGTTTCTTGCCGCGAGGTCCGATGGACCCCCCGCATTCGGATTGCTTTCTGATCTTGTCGGTGCTCTGTCTCGGCCGCGGACGGGCTCCGACCCGTCTGAAATATTTTCGGTCGCCATAGTCGTGTCGAGGTTGTTCGGACGTGTAGATCAGCTAGGCTGATGTCGAATCCTAATCCTCTTTTCTAGGTGATGACGTCTCTAGGCCGTAAATCGCACTTATATGTATCGCTGCACAGGTGCAGCGACGGAGTTTTATCGCATAGGGAGGGTCACGCCGTATGACCTGATTTGATGTTGTCGCCAAGAATGGTTGTGCTTTCTTGGTTCGCCAGTGACAGTCGTGTGTGGCGTGACACCTCGTAGTAAAATATGCGGCGAGACTGTCGATACTATCGCGAAAATGTTTGGTCCTGCAACTTGCGGTTATAGATGAGAACTGAGAGACGAGGTGTGTGTATGTACACAAGCAGAGTGTCGGTCAAGTTAGCATCAAATACGAGGATGCCGGTCCTGACTGTTGCACGTCCAGATGCACGTCAAAGACAACGGGCGAGTCTCGAGGATGATTGGCCCATGATGTCATAATCAGGATCAACGTGCTGGGCCGTCGTCAGTGCCAAGCCGTCAGTGCCGGACACTGCGCCCCGCTGTCGTACGAATTTGAGCGGCACTTCGCGTGGCACCTACTGGACTTCGAGACACCTCAAGACACGCTAATATTTCGAAGAGTCTACAATGGAAAACTATCAAAAACTTGGCGGAACATCGGTCACCATTGACAGACAACCTTCAACCAGTCTTCTGTGACAGGACCCTCCGCTGACTGTGTCACGAATCGGCATATGGCATACTCTGCTAACTCGCTTGAAAGTTCAGTTGGTTACAGACAAATAACTCAGCCTATCACAGGCTTCCCAAGACATATGTCGGAGGCGGACGTTCGCCGAATTCCGTTTGACACACGACCTTTGAAGCTACCGCGGCCTTTTGGATCTTGCCGTTGCCGATATCTTGTTGCGAGTGCGAGTGCAACCTCAAGCAGAGCCTGACAATTATACCGGAGCTCCGGATGCTGTACCAAAGATGGATCGAGGGCCCGCCCAACTACCTGGTTGCTCACAAATCGACCTCGATCTCGACCTCGGGCCCATCTGAAGCATTGTGTTCTGTTTGCCGGTAAAGTCTGTCTTACAGCACAGCATGAATTAGAGTAGAGGCTCAGGAACTCTTGGAACGACCCGAAGGTACTGCGTGTCTTCGACCTAGCCTGTGACATGTTGTCTTCTTGGCGAGGTAGCTGCTCAGATAGCCTACAGCAAGTGCAGAGGGATGTGACGAGCTTGCGGCCGCCGAGGATTCCATCAGTTTCTCCTAAACATGAACAAGAGGCTTTTGCACAACAAAGTTCCTCCTGCCAAGCGGGTTCCTGCTGGCCTGGGTTGTGATGGTATCTGTGGTCTTTAAGCCCATTCGGATATGCCTCGCTTTTCTACCCTACAAAGGCTCCTCAAGCTACAACAACACTGACACGCCTTCGACAACAAAATCTGTGGCCATTGATGCCACATCGATACCATTGCATCACACAGCCCGAATTCAACATCTGGTCTACTCAGCCACATGGATCAGCACTCAGTCATGTCTTACAACTGACACTCTGTAAGCACACCCAGGTAGCCCAGGACTGACTGATATGTCGTCCAGTCTAGACTGTGGTACCGACTGCTGTCCAACCACAAGGACTCGCGCAGTCACAGACTATAGGTTCTTGAACGATGGCCATAGAATGGGACTGGCGTGACTTACAACCGACTTTGTTGCTGGCCATCACCGTGATAATCGACCGTCTCTTTCTATGCACCAACTACATCAGCTACATCGGCAGTGCCCACATCGGCATCAGCGTAGGTTCAAGAGCTAAGACACCCCTAGCTAAGTAGATAATACCTAAGCCACAAAAGCAAAGTGAGAATATCTGCTGAAATTTACCAAAAATGTGTACAAACTTCACTTCGCTTGTATTCAAGTGCACAAGCTAAAAACTGCAAAAGAAAATTCGTGCACCCAGTACACTTTTTAAGCCCCCTGGGAGGCTCGAACTCCCAATCTTCAGATTAGAAGTCTGACGCCTTAGCCATTAGGCCAAGGGGGCGATTGGTAACCAGACGATTGGTTGTCGGTGTTTGCCGCAATTGCGCGCCATAACGGTCGACGCAAAATTAGCAGTTGGCTTTAATTGATGAACCAATCATAGTAATGGGATGACCTACCTCAGTCTCTCTTGCATTTTGTATTCGGACTTGAGGTTACCACCCTTGTCCTGCAACCTCTTTTGTCGACAACAGTATATATATATATATACGTCGTTGATCATAGATTTTGTTTGCCATAGATTTGCGTAGCCTTTGTTAGAACAACTCGGGAGCCATTGACTGGCCCAAGTAGCAGATGCCTTCAACGGCAGTGAAAAACCTCTGACATCATTAAGCCACGAATAAGCCATCACCATGGGGTCCCTGTGTAACGGGAGTCTGGACGAAAAGCAACGACCCTTTATTCTCTTTGCCTGTCACCCTCTCACCGGACATCTGACGCCGGCAATCAAGGTCGCCGGAGCCCTTCACTCTCGCGGGTGGCCAGTCTTCTTCCTCGGGCCTACGGCTCACAAAGCTCGTATCACCGGGTCCGGCGCGACATTTATTGCTCTACAGGGTTCAGCAGATCACGACGATCTGCTTTACTACTCCTCGGACAACCTCAATCCACCAGTACCGGACTACTGGTCTCGGTCATGGGCCGGCCGTGCTCTTGTTGATGCTGAGAAGCAATGGCTTGACCCAATACCAGATCAATGGGCCAGCGTCAAGACTGCCCTATCCACCCTCCACGAACTCGATCCGCAGAAAGAAGTCATTGTCATCGCCGAAGCTGTCTTTCATGGTCTGCTGCCGCTTTTATATGGCGCGCCTCTCCCACCAGGCTTGAAGCGACCTCGTGCCACGCTCGCCCTCTCGGTGACTGTGCCTCTGATCCGCAGCGCCCATCTGCCACCTTTCGGTTTCTCTCTCCCCTACGATGCAGACCTGACGCGTTCTGCCCAAACTCTGAAAGCATGGCGGTTCTGGGCCAGAAACAGCGTAGCACTCAAGGACCTGCTCAACAGGAAGCTCTTTGAGGCCGGTGCGACCACTGGGCTGGAGGGTATCTTCATGGATGGAGAGATGTACACCAAGTACGATACATTCATGCAACTTGGTGTACCAAGCTTCTTCTTCCCGAGGACTGACTGGCCGACAAGCTTCCGCTTCATTGGGATCATTCCTGCTGCTAAGCCGTCAAGTGGCTGGGGCCAGCTCCCGGAGTGGTGGGACGATATCGCTACTGAGACACGGAGGGATAAAATGAAAGTCGTTGTTGTCGCACAGGGCACCGTCGAGACGGACCCTTGGGAGCTGATCTTACCCACCATCTGGGCAATGTCGGACAGGGAAGATGTGCTTGTTGTCGCCATCCTTGGCCGGAAAGGAGCGACTCTTCCGACTGAAGATGGGAAAGCTCTGCCCTCTAACGCCAGGGTCGTCGACTATCTGCATTACGACGCGGTTCTTCCTCACGCGCATGCGTGGGTGCATAATGGAGGATACGGGGCCGTTCAGCATGGTATCGCGAATGGTGTTCCTATGGTCGTTGCTGGCGAGGGTCAGGATAAGACCGAGAATGCCAAGCGGATAGCCTTTTCGGGCGCTGGGATTGACCTGGGAACCGCAAAGCCAGAAGCGGAGGATGTCAGAAGAGCGGTAGAGGCTGTCCTTGACATGCCAAGTTACAGAGAGCGGGTCGAGTTGCTGAGGAATGAGGCCAAGGAGTTGGACTGCTATAGTGCCGTCGAGAAGGCCGTAGGGGAGTTCTGCAATTGATGGTGGAAAAGTCATTCTCTCGGATGGCATTCAAGACCTAACGGCAGTTTCGTAACTGGTGCATAGGGAGTTGACATCCAGATGCGCTGCATGTAAAGCATTACCGACTCATTTCCGACTCGAGTCTGGCGATGCGGTCCAGCCTCGCCTTTGCTATCTGACCAGCCTCATCCTCTTTTCCATTTCTGATCAGCAAGCTCTCGAGTTTCGTCAACATTTCATTTGCCCAACTCTCGTCCTTGAACTCGGGGTTGATATCGACATGCTCGCTCGCCTCCCTGTAGAACGACTCGGCTGCCTGAAAATCTTCACTGGCCAAGGCCGCTTCGGCTCTGGCTTGCAACCCGTGAGCCCCATCCCAATCGCCGTAATTTCGGAGGCAGTCCATAGAGACCGCTGCGTCAGCATACCGTTTCTGATGTAACGCCAGGTCCTTCACTGCAGTGGCGTGCCTCAGCATCAGGAGGCCAGCTTGCATATTCTTGGCCCGCCTGGCTTGCATCCTCACTACCTCCCGGCGCATGCTCAGCTCTTGGGTTTCCAGGTCTCTTTTAATCAGTATGCAGTCGCAGTAGTCGTTGAAGATAGCGATCTCCAAGTGGTCAGACCGCTGTCTCTGCTGACGGAACTGGTTGAGGAGCAACAGGAACAGCCGCTCGAGTATCTCATCGTGATCGTCCGCATATATCTTCACGAGCTGTTGCCAAAGCCGCGTATGAGGATTTTCGCGCCCCCAGATTACCTCGGACAGACCAGCGATATGCCTTAGGAACATGTTGACAAGATCTCCACGGCCTCGGTCATACAGGACCTCGAATGTCGACAACAAAAAAGGAATGGATCGAGGATACGAGTCCTGGACGACGTTGACCATGTACCCGAACGCTGGATCAAGCATCCTGACGAGATCCAGCTTTTCGACTTTGCCGACTACTTGTGATGCTATGTCCAATCTATTCCACAAGTCCTTGAAGTTGGTGCTGTACCATTTAGGGTCGCCTCTTGGGCTTCGCATGGCACCGTCGCCATTCAAGAACCAGTTGCCAGCTGCGAACGAGCCATCGACATAGATGGAGATTGAGCGATACAGGTCTTCTGCTGGCCTGAGGTGACCGGGGGTCGGCGAGCGCAGGTCGGGACTGGGCGATGGTGTTCGACAGACGATCTCTTGCTCGATCGTGTCTGGCGCCTGCTTCTCCTCGATAAGCATCCTTTCGAGCCTACCGCGATTACGATTCCTCCTGACGTAGTTTTTTATCCTGTCGAGGTCGACCTTTTCGCCGCGGAGGACGATCTGGGATGACTTGCCGGCGGCTTGGCGCTCTTCCATGGCCTTGATGATGGCGACTGCTTCGGTGGCGCGGATGTACTTGGATAAGCCCCATTCTCGGAGTTTGCTCTTGTACATCCTTTGACTTGATAGATATAGGTGTAGTTGTCAGTACTACGGAGCCGCAGAAGTAAAAAATGTGTCTTACGTGGCGAAGAAGTGGTGTTCCTTCTCCATGATAGCTATGACTTCCTTCAGAGGCTTCAATTCATCTTTGTACAGCTCTTTGATGAAGGGCTTCACCCTCTCCCAATCTTCTGGCTTTGCCCATTGTTTCCGTGTCGGCGGCGTTGCCATCTCCAAAAAGACTAGTGCCTGCCTTTCTGAAAAGATACCAAAGCACGTGGTGAGAAGCAGAGAACTTGTGATGCAAGGGTCCCTAACTATCTAGACTTAGTGGGAGATGGAGGGGTCTGAGGCATTCTTAACCGAGTTGGCAGTGGCAGACAACAGTGTACAACTCCATTCGTCACCTTTAGATTAGCCAAGCCGGGCACGAAGAGACAAGAATAGGGCCAAAAACCTGGGCGAGAGCTGAGGCCATGTCGCAGTCAGTGTGGCTCGTCCTTCGATCAGCAGCTGCTCATGCACTTACACGGCACTACCATTACCACCCCGTGCTTAGGACCTATTTTGATGCAAACACAACACATGAGGTTGTGGAGAGATTATTGACGTTGATTATGCTCTCCTCCTGGAAGGTAGACGGCAAGATACCTAGCTACCTCTATCTCAAAATGTGATACCTTAACACTTTTATGGCCTGAGGCTCACGGTATAGCTGACCGATAACGATCGACAGCGTACAGATTGATTGTCAGGATCCTTCAAAGCTCCTTGGCTCAAGGACGTCACATTCCTGTTGCGATGTGCGTGCATTGCATTCAAATCCGCTGTTTCTGATATCAACACTGCATTTCGACCAGTTGCAAGGTTTGACAGGACAGACCGAAAAGAGCCTGATGATTACGCCGTATATTATTAGTACCTATGGGGAAGAGAAAGAACCTGGAAGCCCGTCTCGATGGAGGAACGGAGTTGATCTTGGGCTCGCGCGGCGTTTGGTCCGCTGCGGCGGGGTTGTCCACTAGCAAGTGGGCAAACTCGGCTCCGAGCAGCTGAGTAATCTGTCAGATTGACGACAGTCGTTGCGCCGTCGGTCCTTCAAGACATTCGAGGAATCGAGGTGAGACACTATTCAGACTCTCTGCTCCTACTCTGCCCCAGTGATTCTCATCAGAACCCGAACAATGGCTACCACAAGACTATATCGTCTCTGTCCGCAGCGTCCGACGGCCTTCTAAACAAGTTCCTAGTCCCACCTATGCAACCCCCGCGGTTCCGAGCCAGCATTGAGCCAAGCATTAGAAGAAAGCACAGAGGCTCTCGATAGGCTGTTGAAAAGCTTATAGCCACGAAGTCCACGCATATTTGACGCGGGTCGCACAGTCGTGGTTCCACGTGCCACGCGAGAGATACGAGACGAACTATCCTGACGGATCTACCCTACTCCTGCTCATCCGTTCTGGTCCCTCACTCCACGATGACGAGTGAAGGTAACACAAACTCAACTTCGGGCGACTTGAACTCCACAGAACCAAGCCCGAACGCCGAATCTCCTCCCTCTACCCTCTATGCCGGCTCTCAGACCGGGCCTCCGTCCGATGGCCAGAACTACGCGAATATACCTACTCCAGCCGGGGCGTCCGTGTACCCGCCAGCCGCGGTTGTCTCTGCTGAGCTGAACCCCCGCAGCTGTGTTACATGTCGGCGGCGGAAGGTCAGATGTGACAAACATATGCCGTGTGGCAACTGCCGCCGTGCACAAATATCATGCATATTTCCCGCGCCTGGGCGGGCGCCGCGTCGCCCACGGCCAAAGGACCCTAATGCGCTCCCAAAACA